CAAATCTGAAACCAAAAGAAAGGGAGAGGAATACCTGATACAGAATCCACACGTGTAGTTCCCAAAGTAGGTGTTCACACCCAAAGAGGGTACCAAAACCTGCTTCCACTGAAGATGACACAACTTAAAATGGAGCTGGTTCAGCAATGCAGTCATTCAACAAGAACTGCAATCCAACAGCTTTGATCGAACAAGGGAGATGAGCACGAAATCTGATATGATTTTCTTACAAAATCAATGGTAGGAATTGATCTCTATTAGTCCAAAAGGTGGAGAACGAATTGGGTATGTATGGCGGCAAGAGCAGAAGGATAGAGGGAGAACTGAGAGCAATGATGTGTGTCAATTGGAGTAGTTTGCCCTCTCCTATTTAGAGACCTTGAAGAGTAGCTCTCCTAATCCAATTAGAAGTTTCGTAATCCAAATCTTTATTTGGATCTGGACTCTTTAAGTGGATAAGACTTATCATCTTATCCTATTTACTGATCCAAACCCATATCTATACCCAAATTCGCCCATGTCACATAATTGCTTAAGCTGTCATGTGACACCCTGATTGATCCAATTAATCTTTGGGCTTTAAGCCTATTAAGGAGGTGGCTCACGTCCTTTATTAATTGCTGGTTAACTTGTCTCTCTTTTTATGGCGTGGGACCCTAACAATGACCTCACAAAAGTCCGTATGGGTTTAGCCTAACTTCTATAACAAAGCCTGGCCGAATTCACTGTTGACACAGTGAACCCCTGAGTTCATCACTATAGGCTCTTAATGAGCCCAACATTTACACTAAATGGTCCTTGGGTCCAGCCATCTTATAAAGGCCCAAGGACAATGGACTTAAGTGAGATATAGCCCATTAGGTATAAAAGCATTAAATGGTCTTACACTTAACCTCTCAGCCCTTAATGATCAAACACTGCCTGACAAGAGATGACCCCTCCCTCGGCTGCAAGTTATAGTGTTGCACTCTCTACTCGGATGGGTTTCGGGAATTAAACCTTTTGCAAACCTTTTTCATAAAACATAATATATATTCATATAAATATAGTTTGCAAAACAAATCTCAAACACGGTTGAAATCGATTGCCGACAGTTTTGGTTTTCCATCAGAGAGAGTGTAGTCCCGATCATTTACTTTGTCCGACAAAGGGGCTGATCCTGTCATTATGATCACCCACTTGAGTGAATTCTCAGACTGTCCCAACATATCCAGGTTTTGATCCCCGAAGGATCTCACTGATTGGCGCATATCAAAGATGGCTTAAATCGACACCCAATACAGTATCATAATTGAGTCTAGGGGTTAGGTGTAACTTTCCAATTTTTGCCCATCAGGGGCACAACTGGAAATTGGTCCGGGTTTAGTGTTTCAAACAAACACACACTACATGTGCTTGGAGTCTAACCCTGGCTGCTGAGACAAGATACCCCAACCGACTTAGCAGCACATTAGTGTTAGTCTTGGCAGGATAAGCTTTCTCATTTCTATCCAACGGCTGAGAATATTCTAAACTAACACAAGTCTCATAAGTGTCCAGTTTAAGGATAATTACACAGAAACACACCATATATAACATGAATCAATTATGTACTTTTATTCATTTACAATAGATGTTTATGTACATCAAACTGATTGGATCTAAGGGCATACACTGTCTAACACTTCTCTCGATCAAAAAGGAGTTTTTATGAATAGAAAATGATGTTAGACATGTTGGTCATATAGTTTGAAGCATCATAATCTATAATCCAAGAGATTTTATGATTACCTGATATAGTAGCATGATTTGTAGAAGCACAAATACTTGAGTGTGCAAAGGAAAATGAAGAGGTGTTGCTTAAAGAGTTGGATTCGACAACTGTAGTCTCCAAATGGTTGATGAGCTTCCCATACCTTTCAAATTCCGCCTTCACTACTACCAGTTGCTCTATCACTGACTTCTCACTTTCTTTGTTTCCACCTCCAGGTACAGTAGCTACATTTGCATTCTTAGGCTTCACAGTTTGACCACTTTTCTTAGTATTGTTGTTATTCCAAAACCTCTATGGAAGAAGATCAAGATGTATCTTTCATTAAGTATCCTTGGTGTGTTTCGGCTTCTTGTAGTATTTGCATATCACCTATTTTTTCTCAGTTGGCCCCTTTGACTTTATCCCGACATGTGCAAAATGCTCTGTTGGTGAAGGTCCATATAATTGTACTTGCCTCCTACCATCTTCACTACTAACCATGGAGTATGCCCGAGCAAGGGTCACTTTATCCTTAACTAGAATGTTTTGTTTAGTAATGTCAAACTTAGGGTTGAGTCCTATGAGAAATTCAAACACCCTATTTCTTTATATTAAACTTCGTTAAGTCTCTACATCCTTGGTATACTCCCACACAATTGTCTCCATTACATCAATCTCCCACTACAATGACTTCAACATAGAGTAGTACACTGTTACACTTTTCTCTCTTGTCTCATATTATTTATATCATTCTTTAACTTATAAGTTCTTCCAACATTTAGTTCCTAAGAGTATGTTTCTATAATACTTCCAAATTTTCTTAGCCGAATTCATATAGAGGTAACCAAATTCATATAGAGGTGATGTTGGCTTATTTGAGGCTGCATAGAGTTAACTAACCATCCAAATCATTGTATAGTTTTCCTGCAACCATTTTTCATATGTAGAATCAGTTTGTCAACCTTTCCTTACTGCTTGTAAGATAACCTGATTTATTTATATTACAAAAATAAATCCGTATGGATTGTGCCCACACCAAGCAATTTGTTCCATCTAACTTAATTATTGTTAGCACAATTAGAATATCATGACTTCCTCTGATGACCTCGGCCACTTTGACTGCCAAGGGGTGTCCTCTACGGACCATTGTTGAGAGCTTACACCAGCTGGCGAGGCAACCGCAACCTTCGCAGTCGCCACTGCCAAGGGGTGTCCTCTTGTTGTCTCTAGCCATTTTAGTATCTTTGCAAGGTTAGTACTCAATAAGCAAGGTTGGGGACTAAGTGCGGAGCAAACTAAGACACCAACCAGCCGAGGACCACATAAGCCTGACACGGATCAACATGTTGGACAAGGTGTACTCCCTAATGTTTACACACATGATCCTTCTTGTGGACACTACTTCCTTCATGACAACTCAGCCTCGGTGGAGCCTTCTCCTTCATCCTTGGGATGACCATCTCGAAAGGAAACAACTACCCGTCTTGGTGCCTCACGAAGAAGAAGCCCTCCTTCCAATGTTTGATCGAGGAGGGGGCTCCAACCAGGACCTTGGACTTTATCAATATTTTCATTAACCATATCTGGTTAGTGGACCATAGACATTACATGGTTAGCAACGGTTTGCCTAATAGACTTAAGTAAAACCAAGTTACTTGCCTTTGAGGGATTAGTAGTTTTTAAGTCATTTAACTTGTTCGAACGATGTCCTAACTGGCAGAAGCTGTCACATGGTCGCTTTGTGGTTGATGTCCTTGAACCATGTCAGTATACGCCCATGTAGCCATGTCATCTAAGACCTCGTGAGGAAGCAAAGTCCCACATGGACAAGGAGACATGCCCCCATTGTAGAACCCTGGTGGGCAGCCTCATCCCGGTAACCCCATGAAGAACCTATATGGCTACAACATAGATGCTCACCTATTTAAAGGCATCTCCCCCCCCGTAAAGGACTTTTAATTGACTACATGCTCTTGTTCTTAGATTGTTCTCCTCGTTTTGGACTATCTTGCACTCTACAACTCATCCCAATCAATCTCACCTCCTGTTACTAACTTGAGCGTCAAAGTGCCTTTCCGGGGAGCATCTCCTCGAGCCTCTGATTCTATCTTTGTCTGCAGATCTTTGTGGTGTACGATGTTGTCCCTCCACCTTGGCTTCATCCAATTGACTGGACATTATCTGCTACTTGTTCGGCTTGACACACCTTGAATTGGATAGCATCACAACTTACTAGACAAGTTGTCAAAAACAAAATCAACAAATGATACTATTTTCTTCTTTTCCAAAATAGGAAATACCTAAATACTTTGACTTACAATCCAAATTACTTATTTTAAGTAGCATTTTAAGAAGTTTCTGTCCTTTATGACTTACATTCTTGCTACAAAAAATACCTTATTTTTGGCAATTAATAAGTTGCCTTGACATTCCTTGAAATTTATTAATGATGCCCAATAGATTGGCAGCCTCCTTCTTAGACACCCTCATAAAAAGAAAAACATCATTAACAAAAAAAAAAAACATCATTAACAAAAAAAAAAAAGAAAAAGAAACATCAGAGGTGTAGGATTTCAACACCATGAATCAAATTATGCTTCCTAGCCCTAACGAGCATTCTCAGAAGACCCTCCATACCCAAGATAAACAAATAATGAGACAAAAGATCACTTTTATCTTAAATATTTGGGAGGATAGATACACCCTTCAAGGGTCCCATGAACTAAAACATAAAAGAAACAGATAAACTAGATACAAAAAAAAGACCATCCAACACTATTTTCAGTAAACTACTACTTCTTAACGTGATATCGCAATGGTGTAGGTTACACTGATGAAGCGAAATGGTGAACTCTGTTAGTAAGGGTATCGTTTTCTTCTTGAGATAAGAATAAGATTTTTTTTTTGGAAAGATCTACTTGAGATAAAATTTGGATGGTGCTTGAATTGAATTGAAGGCAAAAATTAAAAAACAAGGCAACTTTTGGGAATTATTAGATAGGGAGGCAGTGGTGAGGAAAATAACTTAAAAAAAAAGGCTCCTTCGAGTAATTTTCCGTCACCTCTAACATTTACCCTTATCCAGTTATCCGTTATATTTTCTACCAAAAAAAGCGTTATCCGTTACCTCCACAAAAGAAAATTAAAAAAATAGGAAAAGTTGCAGGAGTACGTTATTGATACATCTGACCAATCAAATTCAGCCACGTCGTCAATGAAGCGAAACTCTGTTTACTCGCAAACCTACCAGAGTAAAACAGTCAGAAACTTGATGTGTCTGAGAGTCTCTTGACTGATATTTGGCAAAAGTTTATCGAGGCTTCCCCAATTCTGGGCCATGTTCTCCATTGAATGGTCAAAAAGCCAAGGACGCAAATCTAAAATGGCCTCGAACAGACACTCACGCCAACGCCCGACGCTGGCGTGAATGTTCCTCGATCACTCCCCAGTCAGCCAACTCTTCCATTCCAAGGACTGTATCACCAATCTTCCATCTCCAAGCTTGCCTCTGTTTCGAAAGTCATCGTAATTGAGATGGCAAATATAGAGCTCAGAGTCAGACCTTCAAATTTCACTCATCAATCTTCTTCATCGGTTAGGTGAGCTTATTCGTTCATCTATTTTTCTGGGTAATGATCTTTTCTATTGATCATGCAACAGAAATTGAGCCCATTAGAAATCTAGGGCGTCTGAGAGGGAGATTGTAGTGATCTTCTGTGTTATCCTGGGTTCATTGGCTTGTTGTTATTTAAGTCGGAAGCCGTAAGTTCCGTAAGTAGGAAAAAAGGGCTACTGTTCTGAATAATTTGCCTACAACATGGTTGCTAATTTGTTCCTAACAGTTCAACTACACGTGCTGTTTATGCCCTTGACTTTTAGCATCAGTAGTCTGCCAAATTTCTGGGACACGTTTAGTATTTTAATTGGTATATGTATAGCTGTGGCAGTATTTTATTTAAACCATTCTAATGATGGTGCTAGTACCTCCTCCCTTTAATTGCTTTCCTGGACGTGAGATCCAACTGTTAATTGGTGTGTATCTTGTAGGACAAAGAGTAATATGGCTGGCTATCCATGAATATTTACAAGTGTGGATTTCTTCTATACGTCATATTATTGATAAATTATTGCGTTTGATGATTTCATTTGCCCCTTTTGATTCACAGCTAGATTATTACGTTTATCTTTTTTTTTGTCCAACTTAAAACATTTAACATTTTGATGGAGTAGTGGTTTCCTCGTTATGTAATGGATTGGAACCCATGGTCAATGGGTTTACCTGGTTTTGTGTAGTTCACCATTATGCAGTCCTTTTTTTTTCTTTTTTCACACAGGTTGGTTTATGTGGATACCTTTTTCTTTGTTTACCATTTTCATCTCCGGATTTCAATAGTTGTTATTTACCCATCAAAAGCTGTTAGATTGAAGTCCCTGAATAGGTTTTTAGTATCTAACATGCCCCTCGGGCTTGAAGCGTAGACAAGCACAAACCACCCATACCTTGTGCTGAATTTTAATTAATTAATGGGGGCGGTGAGGATCAAACACTAGACCACTTGGTTAAACAAGCTCTGGTACCATCTAAAAGAATTGTTCAACCTAAAAGCTTAAGATGTTAGGTGAGGTTTCTGAATAGGTTTTTATTCTCTAACAGAAATGATGCAGGGCTATAGCAAAATGTAGACTAAAAATTAAGGAAACTTTTGGAATTTGAGAGTTTTAATGGCTAAGGTTTGATTTATGAAGGTAGGGAATGATACTTGGGACGATTTAGGATGGGATGTAGTGAATTAGAAACTAAAAAAGCAAATTTAGGACTACAAAAGATCAAAAAATACAAAAAAGAAACTAAACTCTAGAGAAAGAAATTAAGAAAATTAATAGACCTAAGAATCAAAGTTGAACATTGCAAAGTAAGCAACTGGACGGCCTTCTTGGCTAAGGACAACTCCAATTCCAACATGGGATTCATCACATTCAACGTCAAAGAGCTTGTTAAAATCAGGTAAGGCTAATATGGAGCTTTGGTCATCCTCATCTTTAGCTCTTGGAAGCTTTTCTCAGCTGCGGGAGTCCATGTAAACTCATCTCCTTTCAAGCATTCAGTAATGGGTGCCATAATAGTGCTGAAATTCTTTATAAATCGGCGATAAAATGTTGCTAGCCTATGGGAAATACGAATTTCAGTTAAGGTTCTTGGTGTTAGCCACTCTTGAATAGCTTGAACCTTTTCTTGATCCACTTCAATCCCCTTGGCTAAAACAACATACCCCAAAAACACCAATCGATCTGTCATAAAATTACACTTTTTCAAATTTATATATAGCTTATTTTGTTTCAAGACTTGTAGAACTGCTCTCAAGTGTTCTAAGTGGCTGTCATGATCTTTGCTGTGGATGAGTATGTCATCAAAATAAACTACCACAAACTTCCCCATAAATGGTCTTAGAACTTGGCTCATGAACCTCATAAAGGTACTAGGAGCATTAGACAACCCAAATGGCATAACCAGCCATTCATAAAGACCTTCTTTAGTCTTGAATGCAATCTTCCACTCATCCCCCTCTCGGATACGGATTTGATGGTACCCACTCTTCAAATATATCTTTGAAAAGACTTGTGAGCCAGCCAATGTGTCTAACATGTCATCAAGGCGGGGTATGGAAAACCTGTATTTAATTGTAATCTAATTAGTGGCACGACTGTCAACACACATACGCCAACTACCATATCTCTTTGGTGTGAGTAAAGCTGGTACAACACATGGGCTTAAGCTCTCACGGATCATCCCCTTCTTTAACAACTCTATTACTTGTCTTTGGAGCTCCTCATGCTCCTTAGGAGTTAGGACTCATTCTATAGTGGGGTAAGTTAGGCAATGCTGCTCCTGTCACTAAACCTATATGATGTTGTACATCTCTTAGGGGAGGAAGGCCATTGGGTAATTCCTCAGGCATCACATCAGCATACTCATGAAGTAGCTTCTTCACCATCTCTGGAATAGGTGTTTCTTTGCTAGCTTCTTTTGCAACTAGTACGTAAGCAACATCCAAATTTCCTTCTTCTTGAGCCAATTTGTTTGAGGTGAAGAGAGCAGTGGTTGGCTTGGTTTCCTTCTTTAGAAATGAATCAAGTTGCATTGGTTTAAGAGTTATTTTCTTATTGTCTTTCACAAAGCTGTATATGTTCTTGTCCCCATGATGAATGGTCTTACGATCGTATTGCCATGGGTGTCCTAAAAGAATATGGCATGCATCCATTGGGACAACATCACACCATACTGATTCTTCAAATGTATTACCAATAGAGAAATTAATTAAGCATTTAGAAGAAATTCTTACCTCATACGATATGGTCGGGGGTGTTGAACAGTTTTGAGTTGTAATCTATCCACCATCTCTTGAGAAACAAGACTCTCACTGTTAATAATCAGGTTACACAACTTCCCACCAGCTGTACAATGTGTTCTAAAGATATTCTTTCTCAACCAATCCCTTGGTAGTGGTTCTTTAGGTGCAACCATGGAGCACCGTATCACTAGAGCTTCACCCTCAATGTCCCCATCCAAGTTTTCTTCCTTTAAAGCGTTAGCTTCAATAGTTTCAGCTACTTGTCCATCCTCAACATGGCCTATATCATCTTGTTGTTCATCAATGACTTCGTCAACCAGATGTGTTTACCCTTCAATCATTCTCTTAGGACATTCATTGGAATTATGTCCCAATTCCATACACCTGAAACATCTAACAGTAGGCTACCCTTGATTGCTCTTGGTTGCATTTGGAGTCCCTTGGACTGTAGGTTGTATTTGGTTGATCACATGACCCTTACCAACCCCAACACTTCGGCCTACTGATGAAAGTGTACCTTGGACAGCACTTAGTTTTCGCCCCGAGCTCCAACTCAATTGAGCTTCAACTTTCAGAGCTAGCTGATATGCATCTTTTATTTTATATGGGCAATGTAGGCTGATCTGATCCTGTATTAGCAGCCTCAAACCATTGATATATCTACTAACTTTTTATTGTTCAGTTTCTGTCATGTTACTTTGAAGAGTTAATCTATTAAACTCTTTTGTGTACTCTACACTCATTTCCCGTTGCCTTAAATTTTGCACCATTTGGTAAAGAATTTGCTCATAATCTGGCGGTAAGAATTGGAATTTCAGCTTCTCTTTCATTCTTCCCCAAGAATTAACCTTTCTTTTCCCCTTCATTTCTCTGCCCCTTTGGTAAAATTTCCTCCAATCCAAGGTTGTCCCACGCATCTTTGCTATTACAAGCTTCACTTTTCTTTCTTCATTCATTTCTTTCCAATTAAAATAATTTTCAATGCTGTCTAACCAGTCTAGAAACTCTGCGGGTTCCAATTCACCATCAAACTYGTTAGTATGAAGTTGAGCACCATGACCACCTTGATTGGATTGTAAAGCTTGTATTATTC